AAGTGTCATGTTTGTGATTTTTTTTTTTCATGTTTCATTTTTCATTACTGCTTTATTTAATCAGAAACACAGTCTAAATGTTATTTGTGTAGGCTATTTTACTTTTACTTTTTAATTAGAAATAGGCCAACAGCGCCCCCTACAGATTAAAACTCCTTACAGAACGGGCTAGGACCTGTTCACTCTATCACACACCGAACGCACATTCTGTAAGTGCTTTCACAGATTAATTGCAGTGATCCAAACAGTCAATCTAATCATCATTCAGACAAAACTTTGCTTCAAGAATGAGCCACAATGCTGACGTGATCTAATCGCTAGCACACCCTGAGCACATACGAGTTAACACATTCCTCTTATCGGCAAGACATATCGGCATAATTTTTCATATCGATATGAAAAATTATCGATAACAGTATCGATATCCGATATCAGTCCGATAATATCGTGCATCCCTACAAATTACTGTATGGTTTAACTTCTTCTACAGGTATTTTTTTAAGGATGCACTGATTTTTACAATTTTGGCTGATACCAATATATATAAATATTAAAATTCTATAGTATTTTGTCCCAAAATTTAAATAAAACACTAAAAACTAAAACCAGTAATTTTAAATGTTGCTAAATTTAGACATCATAACGTTATAATGAACAGAATAAAAATGGATCTCCATTTTGAGATTTGCTAAAGATTACATTTAAGATATTTCAAAGTTAATTCTTTTTCGTAGATATGAAAATGGCTCAGCATATTATCATGAAGATGACCGTGAGGGGCTGGTGAAGGTGTGTCGGCTAGCTATTAATACTCATTATGAGGACTACGCTACAGAGGGCTTTACATTGCTCAGCTCTAAACATCCTGTGATTTACCAAAGTGCTGCATGCAGACCTGGCCTGGGACAACATCTCTGCAGCCAGGTACAATGTCACCTCCACGTCACACATCAGTGCTGCAGGATCTGAAATGTTTCACATTACCTCACTATATCAAAAAAATGTGTGTGTGTTTATGTGTAGTGGATACTGCTTACTTTGATAAGACAACTTTTTGTGTGTTTGTTTTTCAGCTGGGACTGCCTCTGTCAAGTCTTTGTATTGTGCCCTGTAACACCATGTTTGGCTCGTTGCACCGAATGGTAGGAAGTTGTCTTTTGGTAGATAAGTTTAGAATTTATTTATGTTTTTAAAAGGGATTTTTCTTGGGTTCACCAAGGCTGCATTTATTTGACCAAAAACACAGTAAAAATAGTGATATTGGTAAATATATTGCAATTTAAATGAACTATTTTAATATATTTTAAAATGTAATTGATTCCTATGATTGCAAAGCTGAATTTCCAGCAGCCATTACTTTAGTCTTCAGTAGCTATGTTTCCATCACCCTGTTTCTATGCGCATTTTGAAGTATCACATCAGAAACGAGTGATGGAAACGCCAAATTTCTAATAAAAATCCTTTAATTTGCAAAAAAGCTTTTACGCTCGCTTGAGGTGGTTTCCGGCTTGTGCGAAAAAGTGTTATTGCAAATAATGGGAGATGGAAACGCATTTGCCGAGTAAATTTCTCCATGCACATCAAAAAAGTAATGTGACTTTGCACTATGGGACGACAAAACCTGACTAACCAGCGGACCGATCTTGTTCAACAGCATCTGAAATGTTGTTTGGTCATTTTGAAATGCCCGAGCAAATTCAGTCATCAAAGTATTTCTGTATAATTGCCTGTTACAATTAACTGTTACACGACTGCGTTCCCAAACAGCAGGCATCCACCTCCGAAAGCAATGACTGCATTTATTTTGTTTTTCTGCTCGCTTTGAGGCGCAAGTAATTTATTTTATTATACAGTATATGAAAATTATTATATTCAGTGGCTTCTCCTACTTTTCTTAGTGATATATAGTGCCAGTTTACCAGGAAGTGACGATTTTGTTCTCTTTGACTCGTTGGATGGAAACGGTGCTTATTCACAAATATTTTATACGATATTTCAGTTTTGTGCATAAGTTAAATTCGCAGCTTTGGATGGAAACCCGGCTAGTGTCACATGATCCTTCAGAAATCATTCTAATATGCTGATTTGACTGTTTTTAAGGTAAATAGACAACATTTGTATTTGGAAATTGGTTTGAGCCTAACTGATTTATTTTAAAAAGTATTACCTAAGTGTATTTTAGAATTTGTCTAGTATTAACCTTAAATGTCTTATGTAGCGTCTTGTTAATTGTATGACTTTTGTTATTTATTGAGTTATTGAGTTGCTGCTGACATGATGGTGTTAAAAAATTCAATAAATAAATAAATATGTTAGGTTGCTGCTCAAACAACTGTTATCAAAGGTAAAAACATTTGTGCTACTTAATATTTATAATATTTAGCCGTGATAATTCTTTTCAGTAGGTCTGTCACGATAACAACTTTTTGTTGTGCAATATATTGCCCCAGAAATAATTGCGATAAGCGATATTATTGTAATTTTAAACACCATTTTATGCCACTGAATATATAATCATAATGTAACAGCATAATAATGCAAGAAGGCCTACACACTTCCAAATTACAACAAACGTTTAATTTTTAAGAATATTTAGATGGAAATGAAGTGTCAAAATATTAGATACCTTAAAAAACCTGAATAAATAGTAAATAAACATTTTCTAACAAAAAAGTGCAAAGTAACAAGTAGAAACAAAGAAAAATGCACAAAGAACTTGTATGGACATTTTTCCATCTACGGATTTTTCCCTGACCTTCTTTTCTCTGTAAATTAAGGGTGCGCACTATTGCTGAAAAACACAATCACTACTCAGCAGTCAGATGTCCGTATGCACA